TGTTTGCTAGAAAACAAAGGATTCTTGTTAATTTACCTGGATGTTGATATGATATGAATGACATGTCGACAGGATCATTTTTTAAAACCATGTTTGGCGTTCGAACAATAATGTTGTCTAGAAATAGACAATAAAAATAAACAATAATCGTTTCATTAATATTATTGAAATATTAAAATTGACTATTAAATGTCAAATGTTTATTTTCAATATTGTATGCCTTGTTGAGTCATTTCTGACTCATTGATAGAAAATATTTATGTGAAGTAATAAAGCATCAGATTGAAACCATTTCAGAATATTCTGTAGAGCCTTCCATAAGATACACATTTGTAAAAACATAAATTGCTTTTCATAATGCCTTGACTAAGATTTAAGAGTCAGAACGTCATGTTTTTTTTAAGTGAACCGAACTTTCTTTTTATCTTATTTAGTTACACCGGCTGATTATTTTAATGTGTGTCAAGTTATTATATACTACTAGTACAAGTATAATCTATTTGAAGAACGATTGTTAAAAAATTCTAGGCTACAGATGTGAGAACAGTATTTTTTGTCATCATGATTTCAGTCATTTTCGCCCTCTTCTCGGTGAGTAATATGAATTATTTTATTCTCAATATAAGCTCATATATAACATGATTTTCATACTAAAAACGTTATAGAAAGTACTAGCCATGCATGAAACATTCTACGGTTATTTTTAAATAAATTCTTATCAATAAAAGATAGAAACTGTCAACTTTTTTATGACCTTCTTTTTGAATGAGGTTGTAACAATACAAGTAGATGATTTCTAATCGAAATTAAAGTTAAAGATTCCATATTATAAAAAGAGCATGAAGATCAACGATTTCGATCTGATTTCAATTCGAAAATGGTTGTTCTTTTTGAACATGTCTAACCATATATAATCCACTGAACTGGCTCATTTTCCAAAAAACAATTCATGATAAGTAGGATTCCGGCATTAAACCAATATAACAGCAACATAACTTCGGAAAATAGCAAAAAAGCAAATTAACAATGAATATGGTCTTTATGACATTAAAGACGAATGGATCACTTATAGTTTATTCTGCTTATTCACAGCCAAATGATTTCGTCCAAATTTAACCATGTCAGTGTCATAAACAGCATTTGCATAAGCTATCCACGTGGTTCTCCCAGTATCAACTCTACTCGATAAGTACAAGGAATAAAGGTTTAGTAATTTAGTAGTTGTATTATTTAAATAAACTTATTTTCAGTTAAATTAAATTCTTTTGCTTGCTTCATCGTTTGAATGGGAAGAATAATTTTTTTAAAGTTTTATTTGAATGCACATCTCTATATTCTGTTTATTTTTATTTATAAATTTAGTTTCTATTGAGCGCTCTTGCATATACATATATATGTATGATATCGAGTAATTAGATGATCATAATTTATAATCTTTCAATAGATAAAATAACTTACAAGCAAGGTTTCGTTCTTTTTTTAGATCAGATGTTGCACTGAAATCCACTATAACTGTATTTACAGTTTTGTTTTGCAATAAATGCATATCCGTTTCATCATTTGGATTTTGACTCCTTTAATATATATATATATGTATAGAATAATATTGGCCACACCTTCTTCTTTTCTATTTTATTATTCACATAAACTTACCAAATGTTTGTATTATCACATTTCATTGCAGCTAGACGTATTATAGCATGTTGAACAAGTTCGTTCACATCAGTTCGGGCCGGTTCAAGGACAATATTCGTTTCATTGGATACATCATCTGGACTATGTGAATTCCAACGATCACGAGTATAACTTGGTGGAAATTTAAAACAATTAGTAAATATATCATTTGATGAAGTTGTTGGAATATTGATATCTTGTGAACATGGACGTTTACTAAAAGTCCCTGGTAAACTTCCATCATGATTTTGCTTTTCGGCTAGCCGATCGATTCCATAACGACTCAACATTAGTAATATTATTATGGTAATTGGGAATAGAAGTTCGAAAAGTATTGTTGGACAGCATTTACAACATCTTTGTCGATATGAATAACGAACTGAACGTTGAAGTAATAAACCAAGTTTTCGCGATGAACTAACAGGTTCATATTCAGGTTCAATTAATTTCTGTCGACTTGTGTCGGATTGTGACATTAGATTTAATTTATCTGTATCAGTACTGATATTCCTATTTATTAGATAGTTTACATTATAACAGTTAACGCTAAAATATAGTGAACTCGAATATGTTTTGCATTTTCTCGAGAACGAAAGTAGTTAGAAATTGGCGAATTTCCTCATGCGATATTTATCTGTCTAAGAAGTAAAAAGTGAGGAATTTATCTGAACTATGAAATAACGAAGCTGCTCAGTTTTTAGTGTCAACTCTGACCAAGAATTTACGGCAAAGATTGCTGAGCTAATTATGAGTTCCAATTTAACCAATCAGTAGCACAAACATTTCTATGTCGATCTATGAAAGACTAATCGTTCTAGGTATTTCTATTCACAAAACTAAAAGTCAACATTATTATTTGATTCAGTCTAACCAAGTACTCGAAACTCAGAATAATTTAGAGTAATTAGTGGCTAGTTGGCTCGTTTCAAGACTTCTAATAAAATAATTCTAACTTTTGAATGGAAACCGTTAGAATGGTCAGTCTTTCATAGATTGGTATACAAATATGTTTGGTATTTATTGATTAACTTGAAACTCATAGGTGGCTCATAAATTTTTGTCATAAACTCTTGGTCCAAATCTACACTGAAAATTGGTCAGTCTAATTATTCGCAAAATACATAAAATGAATAATTACTGTGTGGAATCGATAGCATCTCCTTGAAAGAAATTGTGTCAGCCATTAAATGACTCTAATTCAAAAAAGCTGCTTAAGAGAACGAACTAAGGCAAGAAAGACTATAATCGCTCAGTTCTGGTAGCATACGTTGTGTCACTCGCTTTTATTGTATGTTGTGAAAAATTGGAAAAACATTGGAGAACTGGCAGAATGGGACCGTTGGCGTTGGATTACGACAAAAAATGCGTATTATCGCCGCTAATGTTGATAATTTGCATGGATAAGACATCTCGAAAAAGAAGTATCGTGTATACTATCGATATCGATGGAGTCAAGGTAGATTCTTTTCTTTTAAAGAACGGTGTCACTCGTTTAGAAGCAAGAGCTAGTGGACTTTTAAGGGCTTCCGCTCATTTTTCGGAGAAGCATCTCTTTTAATATGACAATTAATGCAAAGAAATCTGATATCATGGTTCTTTCAAGACAATCTCAGCAGTATACTCATCGTGTAAATGGTCCTCCATTGAATCAAGTTGACGAGTTCATTTTTTACGTTCCTTCTACTACACAGCTCTAACAAACACAGAGTTGAGTCACAGGACAAAGTTCGCAATCTTCGAATCGATATATT